TGTAGTCGTAAATACATGTCAAATACCCAAAACAATGGAGCTGGCATTTCCCATAATGCAATTTCATAACCTTGGCAGCTCCGTCTAAAGTCAAACATACAGTTAGACATCTTTTTTGATAGGCTGAGGAGTACTTGGTTCAGAAAATCAATAACTGTATCTTCAATCATCACCTAGCAGCAACTTTCAGGGCGAACTGCAGTTCCTCAAATGGCCACTTGAGGCTGGCCCCAAAAGCGAGTCAATCTCAGTAGACTCCCATGTTAAAATGCTCAACTTTACAGCAGAAAAAACATGTGTACAGCGGGGTACATAAAACAGTTTTGGCCTCTATTGCTAATTTCCCTGTTAATGACAACTGTAGAGTGGTGACGTTTTATGTAACTCACCCATTTAAATCATATTTATTTGTCTAAACAGTGGATGCCATCCCAGGACAGTCCTCGGACTAAGACTTTTGCATGGTCAGCCTCAGTTCCACTCACACTCCACCTATTTGCTCACTTTTGCATCATCACACAGGGTTCATCCATCTTTAATACCATCAGTGATCTTCACAGCTAATATCTCAGAGGTGTAGTTTAATGCAATGCTTTTATTGGCTTAATTATCAGAGCTGTTGAGGTGTATCAGAACCACAAGTACGTTTGACTTTCTACCTTCCAGGATTTTATAGATTGTACAGTTTAGACCCATAGTGACCGCCCTTCACATGTTGTACTGGTCTGCACTCTTTCAGACTGTCCTTATTCTTAGTGTCTAAGCGGAGAAAAGCAAGTTACGCAATGAGTAACCACAGCTGGCAAAAAGAACAAAAGGAATTAAGTAAAAAATCAAAAGTGGTGGGGTGGTGGGGTCGGGGTGGGGGGAGAGCTTAAACAACTGCCTGTCATAAAACCAGTCTGCTTTATAAGTGGGTGATATTAATGACTCAGTGAGACAAGTGTGAGAGGAAAGAGGCTTGCAATGCCAGCAGGTCTCACACTTGGCTGAGCTTCACATGGTTCCTCTCATTTCTAGCCCCGCAGTGTTCAACCGCTGCAGCCGAGTGGCTCCACATAGCTCACCAGCCATTTTGGATGCTTCCTCCCTCTCCTCGTCGCCCTCCTGTACGATTTCCCCAAGGAGCAGGACACAAAGAATGAGAAAGGAGGCAAGAATCGGAGTCAGAAAGGGAGGGGATAATGATGCTATCGAATTTTTCCATGTCCTGCTCCAAGTTTCCATCCTGTTTTTTTTGTGTTTTTTTTCCCTTTCCCCCCCACATTTCTTTGTGACTTTCAGACCATATCCGTAGTGTGCGTCTTTATTTTAGGTACATACGGTTAACTCTTTCTTCACTTAAGAGGAAGCCACACATCCTGGTTTTATGCAGGGAATGCGTCCTCTCTACTGATAAGAGGAAGATGCTTATTTGTGGAAGTGGCTAATCAGAACGCTGCTCAGCCTTTTAGCGGGTACTCGGGGGACTGTATTAAACCGAGATCAGAGAGATTTCAGAAGAAGTAGAATGAGCCATTAGCACTGAGACGAGCTGACCTCATCCAGGGGCTCTACGGTGCTGCAGAAGCATGAGGGAACTAGTCACTTTTAATCACAACTTGGGTACTTTCCCTGGATGACGTTTTATTGTTAACTGCCCTCTCCTCATTAGGGTTATGCAAAGAAGCTCTGCAATCACAGGATTAGTGCCAGCTAGTTCACAACCAGAGCTGTCTATATCAAGGAACGCAGTGTTTAACATGGATCAGAAACTTGTTCTGCAGCAGTAAAATCCTCTCACTTACAGCAGATTTGATGAGAATATATTGTAATGTACTCAGGAAATGCTGTAAATATGATTGTTTTCTTCAGAGGGATTATTAATTATTAATCAAATGGAGCTTTGAATGATGAATTTTGCTCCGTTGTATGTTTGCGGAGTCAGAACTCGTTGAAAAGTGGACAAATAATGAAGCTCAGTTCTTCTTTGATGGAGCACAACCGCACATGTGCACGGTTTTCCCATCAAACACCTGTTGTTGTTGTGCTCCACCCTCGCTGCTTTAAGCCAACTTGGAAAAGTCACATGCGTAACAACCTCAGTACGCACCTGCTTACTATGCCCAGTGAACCGTAACTTCACCTCAGTTCATGCAGACCTAAAAACTGTGACTCTGAAATATGAATCCAGTTTGAGGTCAGTTGCAGGTGATTATAGTACATTCTGTTGTTTTTTTACCTGCAGTTTGTGGCTGTGTGTTATGAAGGTAGACATTCTGCTGACAGAATGTCTATCCCATATTTGCCCTCGACCACTAGCAGCTGTCCCTCAGATGGCTAAATATATTATGCGGCTGCTATGTCACACATTTCCAGCGTGAGCTCACGTTACACTGTATTTTTTAAAATCAGACAACGTAGACGGGGTTCATGTGTCAAAGGCCCCTCAGCCGCGAGGGAGGTGAGGAGAGGTCACTTCACACTGCGGGGGAGAGAAAGGGTAATTTTCTTTATGGATTATGTCATGTATTTTTTATTGGCTGCGGTACAGGACAAAGGGGGGGAGGGTGTCTAGGTGTTGTTCTCCAACAGTGTGCTTACAGTGCATTGTTTTTAGAACAGGAGGAGGCTGAGGCTCGCCTCCAGATTCACTTGTTACGTTGGTTGCATTATTGCACCTAACTTTTTTCATGTAGCTCATAATTTTTGAGTATCTTAACACTCTATTTGAATGTTGGAAAATGGAAATAAAGGTGCAAATAAGTGTGATAAGTGTATAAGGTTGATATAGAACCTCATGGTAGCTCTTCTTTGGCTATAATGTAAACAGTATTACATTGTGGTAATATGTTTGACTTCTCACTGCTTAAGCACTGAAAGAGGAGGTTGTTCTGCCGCCATGCGCCTGTCACAGCTTGCAGACATCATGCTTTTTTAAATTTTGAAATCTGGGATGTTGATGCACTGCTGGTCATGCACTGCTCCCCGTCATTGAAATAAATGCTCTGCATAAAGTTGGCCATTTTATCGCATCTTAGGTTGAGAATTAACTTGTGGGGTTATTCAGAGCACAAAATTCAGTTTTTTATCTTTTTTTTGGGGGGAACTGCAAGTTACTGATGTTCCCCAAATGCCTCACATGCTTCAGTAGATGTTCTAGTTTATTAATGTTCCATAAATACCTTACATGCATTGGTAGACACAGAAATGTGATATTTTTCCCTGAATGTTTCACGAGCATGGGTAGACTTTTAAATTGACCATCGCTCCCTAAAAGGCTTGTGTGCCTAAGCGAACGCCACCGTGTACCGATGTTCCCTGAACGCCTCAGGTGTCAGTATCTGCTATAGGTGGCTGTGTGCAAAAAAATAGGTTTAGAAAGAATGAAATAAGGCATTTTAATGTAAGCTTTACCATAGTCGAAGCCAAACATTTTAATCTACCTATATGAGCCACCCAAAGACACACACTGACAGATCTGCTAAATGTGAAGTGAAGCAGTGTAATCAGATGACATTTTGACACATTTTATTACACTGGAATAGCGTTTGTGCTGTGACTGATCTAAATCAGCACTTGATAAAAGGTAATAAACTAGTAAAAATGGTCTGTGAAAACAAATTTTCATGGATTTATGTTACTGTAAATGCAAAGTACTGCCTACAACCTGTTAGCCTAAATGGTAAATGGACTGCACTTACTAACTTAGCGAAAACACCAGAACATCTAGCCAAAGCCAAGATGTTCAAGCAACATGTTTATGCATATAACCCTCCATAAAACCACATAGTGTTTTTTGTTCTTGAACAGATTAAGCAAACAAAATATATCGTGTTAATTTATGCGATTTTGGGGTTGTTGGAGGCAGGCTAGCTGTTTCCAGCCATTCCCTTAAATTTATCAGCTAACAATTTTGAGCCACTTTTTCCTGTGAGTGTCGTTTCTCTTGGCCCCTGTTGGATATGTCTTTAATCAGCAAAAAAACAAACAAAAGTTCATGGTTTCAGATACACAAATGTAATGTTTTGATGTTTAAAAGTGAGCTGCCTGTAGCTTCATATTGGCTGCATCAACACAAGTGTTCATCAGTCCTTTCATATGCGAGAAAGCAGATATTTTTCAAAACAAAACATTTTCTAAAGGAGCAAATTATTATGTGATCAGGAGGTAAACTGTGCTAAAATACAGTGAGTCTACTGTGAGTTATTTAAACCTAAATAACCAGCGCTGCATGTGGGGTGTGTAGCTGTGTCACGTCTCAGCTGACAAGCAGACAGATTCATTGGTGTTTTGATAGTTAGAAGGATGGTGGGTCTCGCATAGACGCCACTTACGCAAGCACACACATAACCTGAACTGAATGTCAAGGATTCCGTATAAGGAGTCGGTGTCCTTAAAAGCCCCGCGGCCAAATTACAGGGCGTTAATTTGACTTACAGCAGTTTAGACGTGCAGGTTATTGCTGTTTGGATACGTTCGTGGACACACGCCGACATCACAGGGAGGTCGCAGAATGCCACAGTCTGTGTTTTGAAAAGCAACACGGCTGGGAAAATTCATCTTGATTTACGCAACGAATTCTCAAAAATGCTCTTACTTGAGCGCGTTGAAGCTAAACCCAAATAAATGAGCATTTGCCTGCCTCTCGCTCTTTTACGCCTCTTCCTCTCTGTCCTCTTTCTCGTCAGCAGAATAGATTAACCAGCATCTCACCCCTGAGGATGTGACACTCTCATGCTGACAACTATGAATAGCTCTTGCCTTAATGCACAGCTCGTGTGGAGTAGAGCAATGCATTCACTTGACTAAACATTATTATTTCATGCTTGCCCTCCCTAAATCCCGACAGATATTTTAGCATATTGGTATAGTAAGCAATAAAGCTCAGTTTGGATCATGTGATTACGTGAGCTGCATTGAAACTGAACGAGGTTAGTGTAGCTCAACAAATCTGATAAGGCCAAACGGAAGCTTTCCATTAGATGAAGAATAACACTCTACTTTGTGTGTGTTTGCAGGGTAAAGGAATGGGTGGACCTGATGCAGAAAGATCTGATCACACTCACGGACTCATCCAGCGGCATTGAAACTCTGAAGAAGGTAAGTGAGTCACACACACACACAGCTGCTCCACAACAAAATATATAACGGATTTACATCAAAAGTAAAATTTGTAACCATTGCATTGTAAAGGTGAAGTGAATTCCCTTCATTTATGTGTAAGGAGATGAACACTATACTGAAACTATTGTGTATATTTTTCAAGTGTTTTTGACATATTTGTGGTAAGGGTTCCTGAACCGCAGTGTTCTTGGTGGGTGTTTTTCTGACACTTGTAAGGAGACACAGTCATTTCTTTTAAAGTAGCTGGTTATATCACCAGCAATTTCAAGGTTCCATATGCTGAAAATCTATGTTTATTGTGTTTTCTGGTGGAGGTGGAAAGTAAAAGCTATCAAGCTATGAAGTCGTTTATTTCTACCATTCCTCAAGCTCCATCACAACTAGATAACCTCTTCCCCTTACGAGTCAATAAGACCGAACTGCTACATCTCAACTGAGGAACCAACAGTTGTCTAGTTTAAACTATTCACTGCTTTCAGGTGAGCTGTTCAGAATCTGTCTCACTATTTACTTTCCAGAGCTGCTTCTGCTCGCTCTAAAATGTCTCAGCCACAGGCAAATTATACCAAATGATCTGCTGTTCACTACAAGAGTGAACACAAGAGTTCTCATGCACCCCAGCATCTGGGAAACTTAGGATTCACTGGATTATTTTGATTGCAATGTCACTTTAATGGTTTAACTAATTAACTGTTTTTTTGTCAGCAGATCAGAAAATAGCAAAGCTGAGGGACATTCAGAGATGGTTGAAACTTGAAACTGATTTGAAACCAGTAAACAAGGACTAGATTAGTTACTGTGTTTTCATGTAACCTGTTGTGTTTCAGTTAAACAGAGCCACTGTGTCAGTCCTTTACATGTGTACATCCACAGTCGTCCTCGAATGTATCCATATCCTTCCATTAAAGAAAAGGCAAAATTCACAATAGTCACTCAAATAACTAGAAACTGAAAAAAAATAGTAATAAAAAAAAAAGAAGCTAAATTCTAATTTTGTTAAATAAGGCATTGCTTTTGAATTGTGGTATAAAAGAATAATTAAAAAAACAAAAACAAAAAAAAACTGTCCCCAATTAGAAGCACTTTGCTGAGGAGCAGTGGGCCAGAATCAAAACACCTGTCAACAGGTGCAGAAGTCTGACTGAGAGTTACAGAAAACACTTGATTGCAGTGATTGTCTCAAAGGGATGCTCAACAAAATGTTAGTTAACGGGTCCCATCGTGCTTTATATATATATGTTTCTGTTGAACCACAATTCCAAAGCAATGTCATGGTTTTCATAAATTTTCATTTATTATTACTTTTATCAATTTCAACTTATTTCTGTGTTTTTTTCCTTCTTTCATGGGAGGGTATGAATACATTTCAGGATGACTATATTCATACAAGTATGAAATAGTGACTAAAACACAGCCCAATAATACTCCACATTTACCTGCAGTCACTTCCTCGCCATCCCAAACTGCAGCTATGCACAACTAAAATACTGAGTTTTTAACCGCAACGTTGTCTGACAAACTCACCAGTTAAAAACAACTGCTGTGCTGTGAGTTTGGTGATATTTCCATGTGAATTGATCACTCAGAGAGAAAGTTAGAAGCAACAGTAAAGTTATTTATGTCTGTGTCAGCTGCCAGGTGGTCAAATGTTTTGCTCCATGCTGTCAATCACAGATGCAGAGAGAGTCTTCTTCCTGAAGCAGCTGCATTTAAAGCTACAGAAACTCAAAAAAGCCTCTTTAGAACAGGACTAAATCCAGGAGTTATACAGTCACGGTAAATTCAGCAGCAGCAATGGTGCTAAAAAGTGGCAGTCAAGATGGACAGATTCCAGCAGCCTTCATTCACTACAGGAAGTCACCAATTTACCAAAATGTTGTCAGACACATATATCAGCTTGTATGCAGTATCTGATAGTTTCAATTCTGATCTGTGATCTCTGCTCATAGTTTAGCCTCCCATTTTGCATAAATTCTCATATAAATCAGCCTCATATCACTTTGCCACTGAATATAAATCAGCTGAGCAGATCTGTTCCTTTCAAACTACATAAATACACTGATAACATTAACAAATGGGCAAATACAGAGACGATAGCGTTCATTACTGATCTGTCAGATATCCAGACTGTCAGGCATGAAACATCTGTGCAGGCGGTATTTTAGGAAACATCACATCCCACAGCCTCTCTGACTGATTAAAGTCACCATCAACCACATAGCATGCACTCTGGTAACAGAATAAACCTTAAAAGTAAGACGAATAAAAACAAAGTCTGTCCAATTCAGGTGTGCGACCAAAAATG